TCCTCCTCCTCCTCCTCCTCCTCCTCCTCCTCCTCCCTGGCCGAAAGTGGCGGGCGCGGGGGCGAAGGCGGCAGGAGCCTGCGCAGGTGCCCCCCCGGCGCTCCCCACGTGGGCCCCGCCGCTTGGAGAGCCGGGGGGGGGGGTATCCCGCCCAAGGTTTCTGTCGGGCGTGTCCCCCTACAGGGGGATTTTCGACGAACATTCAAAAATACCCAAACAATACCCGGCCAAAAAATACCGCCCAAAAAGTCCCCAGACTATTTTTGGAGTATATTTTTGGAATATGTTGGGAGTATTTTTTATTTTTCGTCGAAAATCCCCTGTAGGGGGACAGGCCCGACTTAACCCAAGGTCAGAGAGAGAAGGAGCGTGATGGCGGAGATGGGCTCCTGAATGTTGGACCACCTGCGCTTGGTTGGGATGGATTTGACTTTGGCGCGAATGCGGCCCCCCAAGACTTCGACGCCCGATTCAAGAGGGCGCCGCTCCTCTTCAGGAGCCCGAGCCACTTAGCCATTCAGTCGAGGACGGCAGCAATAGTGGGATCGCGGGGTCCGAGCCTGAAAACAAGGACCGTAGTTCAACGCCTGCCCTGCTTCTGCTCCCAAACAGATCCCGCCGCCGCCTGTTGAAGCTTTTTGGCGCGGCTGGGGGGCGCTCCGGCAGCTTTAGACTCGTGCATGGCTTGGGGCGCCGCCCCTCTCTTAGCGCGCTCAAGCGCGGTGTGCTGCTTAGAACGCCTGGTTGTGGCCATCATATTGCCTCGCTTGGCCCTCTTCCTCCAACGCCAGAGGCCCCTGGTCTTCCTGTTGTGGACATGTCGGCCTCTGTCTATGCTGGGGCCTCGCTACTTGGATCGGAATGCCCGCGTGCTCGAGCTCACGAGCGGTAGCTTCGGCAATGCTGGTGAAGAGGCGCCGAGACAAGATTCACTGGACACAGATAAGTGCAACATTTCCTAGCTTTCTTTACAACCAGCCACAAACGAAACGGTCTGCCTATCCATATTCTCAACAGCGCCTCCAGCTCTAGAAATCACGTCATCGACCCAGGTGCGCGCTTCAAGCCCTGGCTGGAACCTGGAATTGAGCTCGAACACCAAATCGAAAAGCAGGCAGGCGGCCGAATGCTGAGCATACCTACACCCAGCCAGGCTCCCCGAATGAGCCTCGATGGCTGGCGCTCAATACCTGGGGCCCGTGAAGTACCTGGGTGCCAAATTGAACTCGCAGTGTGCTTAGGGCGAACATGGCGCTGGGGTAATTGTGTTTTGCAGCGAGCTTGAGGGCCAACGCTGGGCCCAGACCGAAAACAAAATAGGGTCGACGTCAAGCAGGGCACAGGTAGTAGATATGCTGAAAGTCGCGTGGCTCTCATCAATAACTAACCTTCTGAGAGCTGCTTGGGCTGCTGAGCTGCCGCTGACAGCGTCGGCGCATTCTGCCTTGCGCTGGCGCTCGATGGACCGCTGGTCCGCGATATCCTGAGTTGCTCTCGGAGACGAGCTGATTGAGCAAAGCTGGCAATGCTTCTGTCTGCTCCTGAATCTTTGCGAGCTCAACCGGTGCAGTGGTTGGCAGAGAACCCTCGCCTAAAACCTCGGGCGCTCTGTCGGTTGCAGCCCCAGAAGCTCGCGCGGCATTTCGGTCGGCAGCGTCAGCCAACCTGGAACCTTGATCTGCTGAAGGGCGGGGAAGCTCTCCTGGCACTCCCTGCCGAGAGGTGGCAGCTCATTCATCGATGGCAGTTGGCTTCGGTTCTCCAACCCAATGTAGTTTTTTTTTTTTTTTTTTTTTTTTTTTTTTTTTTTTTTTTTTTTTTTTTTTTTTTTTTTTTTTTTATTTTTTTTTTTCAGTTTTTTTTTTTTTTTTTTTTTTTTTTTTGTTTTTTTTTTTCTCTCTCTCTCTCTCTCTCTCTCTCTCTCTCTCTCTCTCTCTCTCTCTCTCTCTCTCCCCCTGTTTGGTTGTTATGTAATTTCCAACCCTAGGAATGAAAGGATCGACCCCGTCCCAAATCTGCCAGGAGGTCTGCTCGGCGCCTGGCCAGGATCTGGGCTTGGCATGAGTGTGGCCCCGCAGGGCCCACTTGGCGAGCTCTGAGCTGCCCGCCAAGCCGCATCTCCAGGGGCGCTGCAAGGGGGCCGTCCTGCTGGGGGCGGCCAAGAGGGGGGCGTCCAAGAGGGGGGGGGGGGGGCAAATCATGACCGGCGGCATGTGCGCCGCCCAGGGGGGGGGGGGGCTGGGGACGTAATGAAATAAGAAGACGCGCCATGAGATCTGAGGAAATAACATGGCCCCCGCCATGATATCCCCCCCCCCCTAGTCATCCCCCCCTCTTTGCCGACC